GTCGTTTAAAGTACAAAACCGCGTATCAACAAAATGCAAAACCGCGTATCAAGGTAATGCAAAACCGCGTATGTGACGTTGCATAAATTATTTTGTAGAGAGTAAAAACGTTTATATTTAAAAATGGTTCTCTTTTTATAAAGCAACCGCATTTCTGGCTAGTATATTTCAGGACGAATAGATAAGGATTGAGCCAAGAGCTTGTGTGAGCAAATCCAATTTTTGGCAGCAAATGTCAGTTACGCGGTTTTGCAGAATGACGATACGCGGTTTTGTACTTTAAACTACGATATATATAAAGTAAATTATACTCTTTCTGTAGTAATCTCTTTCATATCACATATTTTCATTTGTTAATTTAAAAAGAAAGGAGATTTCAATGTAGTTTAAATTTGATTTATTTAAAGAAACTTTTATGAATTTTACTGAAAAGACTTTAAAAACATTCTAAAAAAATTTTGTTTATTTGCGCATATTGAGAGAGGTAACCAGTGTCCTCTCTTAATGTGTGCAAATTTGCACGCCGTGTAATAAAATTATTCATTGCCTGTTTACTTTTACATAACGAATTTGTCGCAAGAGCAAAATTACACATAAAATGTTTAAAATAAAGTAATGTTTATTATTAGTAGGAAATGTATTTGTAGTTTGAAAATTTTTGCAATTTTAAACATTCTATATATCGCTAACTTAGAGTGAAAAGTTGCTAAGTCCACTTTTTATGAAAACTCATATTTTGATATTGGGGGTTAGAGAAATTGAAAACGCATCGTTTCGAAAATTATAAAGGTACTTGTTTTACTTTTTCCTCTTCATAAGCAATAAAAGGAAAATTTTCTAAGTACAAAAGAAGCACCACAAATCCGATAAGGCGAAAATAATACGACATATTTTAATAAATATCGAATCCTTCTAATTCTTATGGAGTTTTGCTTTGCTTTAAACGCGCAAAATGTTTGATTCAAAGTCTTGCGAAATAGTTAAAGAAAATGGCTATAGGAAGATTTTTTCCTCTCCTGTAAAATTTTTAAAATGGGACTTAGCAACTTTTCTTTCTGTAAAAAAGAAAATTGGATACATTTGGATACATTTTTGGCTTGGTCAGGGATACATTTTCTTGAGACGGCGCGGCAACACTGCTTCCAAGTACACTTCCATGGTATCGTTTTATCCCTAATTAACAGTAGTCACATATGGTATGACTAATGTGGCCAACCGTACTTCTTTCGGAAGTACAGTACTTCTTTTTTCGCTCTTGTACTTCGTACTTCGAAGTACAGTCCAATGTACTTCTTTACGATATTTTGTACTTCGGGATGGAGATTCTGTAACCAGTTAGCGACAATTTTCGGATCGCTATCGCGCTTTTTGACGCATAAACATTTATATCATGCGACAGCGATTCGAAAATTGGCGCTAACTGGTTACAGAATCTCCCCCCAGGTCCTGTTATTCTCCGTTCTTCTGGACATTCGTCACATGGCCTGGGCGATAAATTCGTTCAAACCATTAAAGTCGCGGGAGACCGATGGCATCATATCTGCGCAGCTGCAAAGGGCTCTGAAGGTTTTGTGCAATTGGTTGGATCCATGCATGAGGACCGGGTTCGTACCCAAGGCTTGGAGGGTAGTTAGTGTTGCGTTCATCCCGAAGGCCAGAAAAAGTTATCATGTTTCTCCTAGGGATTTTAGGCCTACCAGTCTTTTTTGTCGCTTTTGCTAAACACGCTTTTGCTAAAAACGCTAGAGACTGATAGACATAAGAAACGCGATTCCTCGTGACTGTCTTTCAAGAGCTCAATATGCTTATTGCAAGAAAAGGTCGGTGATTACCGTCCTGCACACAGTGGTAAAGACGTCAGAGGAAGCCTTCACGCAGGAAGTTTATGCAGTAGAGGCCTCTCCGATATCGAGGGGGCCTTCAACAATATCACTCCAGAGGTAATAGTCAAGTATATTCATAATCTGGGGGTTGAAACCAACCGAATAAGCTTACTTTATGACAGAACTGTCGCGATGGAGGGGGGGAGTCAATGGGAGCACTCAGCAAGGTGGTGTTCTCTCTCCCCTGCCCTGGATTGCAGTTGTAACGACCTTCTAGAGGAACTGGAAAAGTGGGCTGTCGAGTGATCGCCTATGTAGATGATGTGGAACTTTTTGTTAATGGACGATTTCTATACACCCTTTTTGATGTAGCTCAAGGTTACCTGAACCAGGTAACTAGGTGGGCGATCAACGGCGGCTGACGTAGAAGCCTGACATTGAGGAAAGGGTATGAAAGGTGGTATTCATGTGGCGAGACTAGAAGCTGATTAGAGACTGATCC